TCCTTTGGACTGCTTCATCCATCGGGCAGAGGTAACACCAAAGTTTAATTAAGAGAAGGTTTTGCAAGGCCAGCCAAACTGGGGACTTGTGGAGGGGTGAGGGAAATTACCGTATTTATCCCTTGGAATAAATGCTCTCTCTCAACATAGCTTGATAAATCATGGTGGAGTCCATCTGCCTCTCATATAATCACTGAAAATTATTTGGAAATCCTTAGTGGTGGGTACACAGGATAAGGAGGAAATCAGATTCCAGGAGGGAATTTTACGTATGAAATGTGAGGTGACTTCAAACTCGACGTACGTGTAGTTTCATTAGTCAGTGCATATCTGGACCCCATCATTCATCCCCGTGTCTGACTGGCTATTATGCTACTACAATATCCTACATATCAATGAAAAAAAAAATGATTAGTTTCTCCTGCAGCTTCCCTGTTCACAGCAGTGGCCGGTGCTGGTCTGTGCCACTACGTTTCGCAATTCCACGAATTCTTGCTGTAAAGCCAGTGTAATTAATTCCTGAAGGACCCCAATTTTTATTAGAAGTGCCAGCCTGCTGCATTTAACATGGGAGAGTTTCTTGAACTTTCTTTGGGCTGACAGTTCATTAATAAGCGGCCTCCTCCACAATCTCTACTGGTTTTTGTTCTCCTGCGCCTTTTCATCAGGCAATCCATTTATTAATCTTGCCATTAATCTCAGCCAACAGGCATTGTATTCCCCAGGCAGCTCTCTATTTTTGTCACTGATTTTTAAAAAATTGTTCACCAACTAAAATCACTCAGCCCCAGTTGACAATTTTCCTAGGTCCTATTGGGATGTGGGATCTTTCTGAAATTATTTCCTCCTTGCATAAGACTAAGAACACTGTAATTTTCAAGAGGTCTGAGAAGCAAGATGAGTGACAGAAGTTTACACACATGGGTCGATGAGTCCCAAATATCTAACTTTATGATTTAGGAATTTTCTCACAGAGTTAAAGAATAGTCCAGCAGATTCCTAAAGAGAAAATAATTTTAAGGACATTTTCTTGGCCCCCAGAAAGCAAACCTTCTAAAATACAGAATCTATGTCTCACATATGTATCTTCCTAGTGGGTGCTTGATAAATACTCTCTACCACACTGCCCAATATGGTAGCCACTAGTCAGACATGGATATTGAGCACTTGAAATATGGAGAGTACCACACGTTGAAATAAGATTTGGGCTTTTGAGGTTAAATAGAATATTTTAAAAATTAATTTCCTGTTTCTTATTTTTTTTAATGTGGCTATTAGAAAATTTCAAATTACATAGATGACTTGCATTATGTTTCTATCGAACAGTGCTACTTGGTAAATTTTAAGACCTTGAGCATATCAGTTCAGCTCTCTGCACCTCAGTTTTCTCATCTGTTAAATGGGAATATTAATCTCAATCAGTCTAACTTTACCAGAATGTTGTGAAGCTCTAATACTGGCTCTTTCAAGACTCTACAGATAATATATTTTAACTTTTTCTAATCCATCAAATTTTGTATAGTACATTCACACATCACCAATACTCCTCACAACAACTCTGTGAGGCAGGTGTAATTATGATCCCCATTTATCAGAGGAGGACGGGGGCTCAGAGAAGTGCCTAGTGCTGACCTGCCTGATGCCCCCACCTCTACCCTGCCAGGCCCCTTTAAAGGCTTCCTGGCATTATTTGACCTCTGAACCTTGTTCTCTCACTACCATTTAAATGACAGTAAAAATAATATAGTAATACAAACAGGAGTCTGGAGGTGAAACAGAACATACTCAAGGGAGCATCATGACCTTCTCTGTCTCCAAGATGTGGTGCCCAACCACATCCTCTTCACCTGATTAAGAATAGTGTGTCAAGATCCCAGTAGGACCCTCACTTCGATTTCAGTGGTCCTGATAGCTCAGCTTGCAAATCCTCATAAGAGGAGAGAAGGTGGAAAGGGCCAATGGGGAAGGACTTTCAGAAAATCCCCAAGCAAAAACCAAACAAACAACAACAACCACCAAATAGGTTTCCTGAGGCTGGCCATAGGATCAGAGCACAATCTTAACCACATCCTGCCTTCTGTTGGCTGCAACTCCTCAGCGGCTCAGTCGGTCGGCTTGGCTGGCACCATCTTTCAGCTGGGTGACAATGACAGTAATGACAATAGCTGCTGCTGAGAGAGGATAAAATGCAAATTTGAACTAAAAATACTGGTCCCAAGCATGCTCAAAATCTGATCTCTCTGGGCAGTTGGTCAACACCCAGCTCTCATCATGAAAACCCACGAAAAGAGGCAGCACCAGTAGAGGAAAATATGACCCCTGGCAAATAAAGCATCTAATTACTAAATAACCACTGTAGGTGTCGACCACCTCATTCCCAGAGGAGATCAGATAAGCAGGTGGTTTGGCTCACAGTGGCCACAGTGGTCATGTAGGCATTTCAGCTCCCCATCTAACTCTGTTTGGAAGTGAACTCTGAAATTGCTGGCTGCCAAAATATATTCCAAAAGTCATGGTGTCTTTTATATTTTTAAGTAGATCTTTAAACAGAAAAAGTCACTGGTTTCCTACGTAAGAAATGTTTGAAGTTGGAAGCAAGGGAGAGAGGAAAGAAACTTCTATAACTGGGATTAATGCAAGTTGGAGTGAAATAAAAGGAAGTCAGTCCTAGCAAAAAGGGGAACTTAAAAGGAAATCAGTAGTAGATCATATAGAGTTTGCTTTGGCCTAGACTGCAGTATTACTGAGTTCTTGACCTCTGCACAAAAAGAAAGGAAGAGAAAAGCTCTTGGCTATTATCTGGACCAGAACTCCCCCACTCTTCAAATGCATGTGTAATTCAAGTACTTTTTCATCTTTAAGTGTGTTTAAGTATATCCAGCGGAACAAAGTAGAAAAGTCCTTCTTACCACTGGAATGGAACTGTCGAACCTGATTAAGACTGGAGTTACCTCTGCCAGATGGTTGCTGGCTGGCAAACCAGCATCTTGGTAGAAGAAAAGTATTTCCCGAGATCAAGGTAAAAAAATTCCTAATAAGAAAAAGGCACATGTAACTGGCATCTGAGATCAGAATTCATGATGTTTCCAGAGTTTGCTGTAATAGCTCTGCCCCACGCCTCTACCTGATGACCCAACGCTCATGCACAGAGGCTGCAGCCAAACTTCCACGCAGACTCTTTCCTGCGTTCTTCCCTCCAAGGCGCCACGGAGGCTGTCTGTTCAGAAATTTCTGCTCAGCAGGCCATGGTGAATAATCATTTTACAGTCAATCTCTTGGTATTGTAATTTCTCTCTAGCTCACCAGTTAACCAAAGAAAAACCCACTGGGGATTCAACTTCTATTAATAAACACTTGGTCAGCACAAATGTTGCAGCAATAATTGAAACTAGATTTTTCCCGCTCCCTGGAGACAAGTCCAATTCAAGCCTTTCTTTGGCTTTGATAACACTGCCCACCACCCTGGAAACCATTTCAGACTTTCTGCCTTCATGCCTACCTGTATGGGAAACAAATATCAGTATTGTCTTAAACGAAACTTGTACACCATGTAAAGTGTTTGTAGACAACATGTAAGAAGAGGCATTATTAATTATGATTTAATTTCTTCGGTGACAGATGTCCTCTGATTTAATTCTACATTGAAGGCTAACCTAAATGGTAGATCATGTACTTCCCACTGACCGGATTCCCCAGAAGCTCTATGGCTGCTAAGGAAGCTTCTCTCACATGAAAGACAGTCTACCAGTCTACCGGAAACAGGCTCCACTGTCAATTTCATCATTGGATTGAATTGACAACATTCAATTAAAAATATTCAAATTAGCAATTACTGCTTCCGAATTGGAATAGTTTTACCTGCTAGGGGGCCAAAGGAAACATGCATTCTCATTTAAATTAGTAGCACAGTTGCTAAAAATGTATATGTAAACCTAATAAGAGTGCAAAAAGAAAAGGAAACCAGAATGTCTAAAAAAAAAGTGTGGGGGGGAATATTTTTCAAACACAGGGCACAGAACTCCTTTTCAAAGTAGCTGTGAGAATCAACCTGTGAAATGGGCATGGTCAGGGACTGTGGGCTCCAAGGAGCTCAGCAAGCTGAGGGAGAGAGGGGGACTTGTGGAAGAGGATTCAAGGGAAGTGAGCAGGGAAGGCCCAGCTAGCTGCCTGTTCTAGGTCAAAATCAGGGGAAAACTGTGCTTAGTGTGGTTGGACTTCACTACTTTTTCCCCTCAGGGTAGCACGGGGTCCCTCCTTCCCTGGGACCTTGCCTCTGAGCAAGCACAGACCAGGGTGGCCCTGGAAGCTGTCGCTCCCCCTGGGTCTGGATGGAAGGGAGAAAGGTCTCTGCCACTTCTGCCTGTTTCTTTAGGAGCCTGGACTGAACTTCAGTAGTTCACGCCCAGTGAGTGGTAAAGGGAAAGCTGGAGGAGTCTGGAGCTTGACAGACAGCTGCTTTGTGAGTTAAGACTTCAGGAGAAAGTCAAGTTGGCTCCTACAATACTCACCAATGAAAATACCACCTCTGATCCACTGAGCGATTTCAATTGAAAACTATGGATAAAACTAACGGATAACGGGGTTTCTTTCACAAACGTGAGGAATAAAGACCTTCCTCTAGCAAGACCTAAGGCAGATGCCACGTTTGGAGAGGAATGGCACTTAACCATCAGGAGAGGCAGCAGGGTGCAGAGGGTGGGAAAATGGATTCTGGAGCCTCACACTTGCTCTGTCCCTTACTGTGTCACACTGGGCAAATTCACCTCCAAGGGCTTCAGTTTCCTCCTCTGTAAAATGGGGGTGATAACCTATTGCCTACCTCAAAGAGTTTCAGATTAAATGTAAATAAGTCAATACTTGTGAAGTGCTCAGAATGGTTTCTGGAAGTAGTAAGTTTATATAAGCATTTGTTCTTACTATTTATTAGCAAAGGTGCTGGCACAGACTGTATAAGGGGAATATGCCGGGTGGAGGACACTGAGTGGCTTGGAATCCCTCAGCGATTCAGAGCACACATGAGCTTTGAAGGCAGAGAGACTAAGAATCAAATCTTGGTTCTGATTCTCACTCGCTGTGTAACTTGAGCAAGTTACTTGGAGTCTCTGAACCTATCTCCTCTTCAGTGAGAGTGCGGATTACCATACCAACTTCGTAGGTAGTCAGAAGAACTAAATGAGTAAAGCTGAGTGAAGCACACAGCGCAGTGCCCAGCAGCACACAGTATGCAGTAAAGCCTAGTGATTACGTAACAAGGGCTATGATCGCTGGGCTCCAGAAGGGCTGAAATCTGTTCCAGAATCCTTAGTGACCTTTAGACAAAATTCTACCCACTCTCAATACAGTGGGGAGAGAGTATGGAGAAAACTATCTCCTGACACTTCCCGTAAGTTGATTGGGGTGTCATTTTCTATTCACTACTGATCACATCTGTGTATAGCTGTAACTTCTCCGATCTGTAACCTGAAAGAGAGGAGAGAATCACTTTACCGTTCTCTCAGAATAGGGAGAGAATTTTGAGAATTTCCTCAAAGCAAATTCACATTGTGCGGTGCTTACTTAATGTCAGTGTATGTACCATTACCTTTAGGTCATGTGGGAAGGGAGACTAAATCCAAGAATGGGGAGACAGAAGCTTTGGAAGGGCAGGGCAAAGAAGCTGGGCAGGCTGCCTTAGGGGGTCAAGTGCAACAAGTCAAACAAAATACAAGCAAGCCTTTCACAGTAGGTCCCAGGTTTAGACAGAAAAGGGAACAGAGCCAGGGATCAGAAGAACCACTGAATATCTAAAATCTAAAAGTTTAGCCGTTAAGTGATTAAAGTTTAGTTGTACTTCCTATGCTTTTTCAAACAGTGTGTTCACGAAAGCATTTAAATATCCTTCAAACATTTTTAGGAATAGGAAAGAAGGAAATGACATAACCGTAATGGTAGTAATGTTGATGCACAGATCCAATTTTAAAACATCCCTACAAATGTCCATCCATCATTACTGCAGGGGAAGTACCCGATCTTTGAAAAGTGATTAGAAATGCTGTCAATTTAGAGTGGATGGAGCTTCAAAGACTCAGCACAAACTTCAAGGAAGCAAACTTTTCCTACGGGGTCACAAACTTTTTTTCAGGAGATATTACTTAGAGATTTTCCTGTAACAAGAGAAAATGGTATTTTTATGACATTCATATAAAAATGAGCAAAGAAGTTCCAATTATGTAGAAAGAAGAAAGGGATAAGCAAATATCTCTGAAAGATGAACCTGACAAAATTGCTTTATACAGTGGCCAGTTAGAAGATGGATTAGAAAATGTGAAATTTTTATGTATAAAATGCAATCCAAGTGACTCTTCCTGCTTCCATAGCAACCACTAATTCAGCCCTAAGTCAAAATCCACCACAGGGACTCAGTTTGGAGAACTGCTGCTAAGACAGAAGTTGTGAGCACTTTATCCCCTACTCATTTCTAGGCTGTTCAGTCCCTTCATAGGGACCCACAGGGTGGATCTAGGCTTGAAGAGGGGAGGGTAAGAAATGTGTGTAACTGTGTCACTACCGAATCAGACTCCAAAGCCTCCCAATCCCCAACCTCCAAGCAGGTATCCGGACCCATCTAAATAGCACCCATTCCAGCATCAAGGTTTTCCTCTCTGTTTGGGGTGAGGCATCAGCCAGGAGCCAAGGGAGAATGACTGGGTCAAGGTCATCCCACTGGGAACCATTCCATCTGTTCCCCCAATGGCTAGAATAAGAGCAATGCTACTCTGGCAATAGGCAGGAGCAGCTCCTTAAAAAGGATGGCAATGACCCTACCATCTCAGTTTTACTTGGAGAGGGGCTTCACAACAGAGATTTCAGATCCTGTACCCATTCCAGTGAGCTGACCCACCAAGGGAAGGTGCAAAGATGGCTGCTCGGGACAGATCACTGGGCCTGAGGTGCCAAAGAACAGAACTGGGTTCTAACTAGAGAGGGAGAAAAGGAGTGTGAGAAGGTGTGACCATTCAATACCTCTCTCTGGGCAAAATGCATGTCTTCCCCCCCCCCC